AGACAAGAGTTGCGTTATTTGAACCTATTCAGTATGTCGTTTCGCAATTTGGAAAAATGTCAACCGTTCTCGAAATATTTTGAAAAAACTGAAATTCACTGATTTCGTTTCCATTTATCTTCTTGGTTATTATTGGAGAAAACAGATTGAAATCTTGGATAAGTAGAGGTAATCAATCATGACAAAGGAAATGAGACTGTCAGGAATATATATCCATTTTTTCCAGAAATTCACCATGCAAATTTTATGTTTCCTATATAGGCGTCCATTTTTTTTTATACCATTGAAGAAAGCTGAAAATGCCGTCCACATCCATGTATAACATGTTCACATTTTCATATGGAACAGTAATCGCTGTAATATACAGAAGAAACCGTGACAATGGCCGATTCTTATTGATTCCGGAGAACAAAAGTGGAATAGTCATCAATATAATCAGTTTTCCAGACATCCTTCAGGGCAGTGCTATGCGATTTTATTGAAATGAGAACCAGTCAATTTTTCATGCAATTATAACAAGAATTTTTTATATAGAAAAACTGATCTCATAATATTGTTCCTCATAGTTTCAAACTCCCACATGCACATTTTCTCATAATTTCTACCTATAAGATGTTTCAGAAAAACAGGCACATCTGAATAGAATTTTTGCGAATGTAAATAAGTATTTACTTCAACCAAATACAGTATATCTTGTTTCTACTTTCAAACCATCATTTTCTATCTACCAGAGCTATTGAACGTTTTCAAATCTGCAGTTGATCTAAAGGTCGCTATTTTTCCGATGCTGAAAATGAAAAAAATGAAGCCGACTATGTTGATTCGGAATGAGGTTTTATTTTGCTTAGAAGTTCGAAAGCATGAGTACATGAGTAAGTTAGTTTTCTTGCAAACAAATTCCTGATATTAGCATATCATGAAAATCAACCTCTTTCCATTTCAAGCCAGGTAGCTGCGTGATAATTTCGTCCGCTTGCTGGTCGTGGGTTCGAATCCAACGACTACAAAAATGTTTCTGGAATCACACGTTGAAAGGTAAGGCCCCCGTCATTTCTTGCGTGCACAAGACTCTTAAACAATTCTGAGGGTTGCTCTTGGTGGGACAACCGAATAACGGATAGAACAATTTTAGAACAATAAAAACGCATTACACGCCGCATTACAACTATACTCATTCTTGGAGTTCCTCTAATGGTTTTGGAAAGTCTATATACCTACCCTACATATCTGATCCAGAACGGATATACATTTTTCCGGAAATGAATCCTGTTCAAAGAAAGATAACTCGGACATCGCCATGACTCAGATCCAGATACATTTGGAGAGGAAGGTCATCTTTTATTTTGACAATGCAGAAATTCGCATAACCAATGATTACACTGAACTCACCAACTCAGAAGGAAAATTCACCGACACCTTACATGAACGTTTGCCTGACAAAGACGCAAGGGTGACATTCAACACACCTGCTGCTAAAATACTTGGGAAAGCTATCGTGCAGGCGTATGTCATTTATTTCGTGGACACAACTACTACAAGGTGGGCCAAAAGAAGTCATCCGATGTTATTTGGCTCTCATTTTTTTTCTAAATGAGAAGCTTCGATTCTGTTTTTTAATTATGTTTATTTAAACCTTTGTAATTTAATTGGTCGAGTCGAGAAGATGATATCGGCCAAATGGGCGCCGCCACAACTGATTGCTATACGGGCTCGTTTCATGGGATTTCTCATCACTTCGGCGAGATCTTCGGGCGACAGATTCTGGCACTCGGGTCGAATGTTGTCCTTGAGGGCGTCCATGGTCTCAGTCTTGTTCACGTAAACACAAGACTTAAAAAAACCCCACAAAAAAGTCTGAAACGGTTTAATTGGGCGATCTTGCGGGCCAGAGCAAATCGCCAAAACGAGAGATGAGGCGATCTGGGAACGCCGCGCCTTCAGAATATCGGTTGTGGTTGTGGCTCGCGCAGTGTGTGCCGTTGCTTCGTCCTGTTGGAACCACATGTTCCCCAGTCCTAATTCGTTCAATTGCGGCAGAAAATACTCGGTAAACATGGCCCTATAGCGCGCACCGCCCACTGTTGTCGTTTGACCAGCGGCGACCTCGAAAAAAATGGCCCGATTACTCCTCCAGAGTGAACAGTGCACCATGCAGTCACATTGAGCGGGTGTAATGGCTCCTCGTGCATCACTCGTGGATTTTCAGTGCCCAGAAGCGATAGTTCTGCTTGTTCACGTACTCGCTGAGGTGGAAATAAGCCTTGTCGCTCATTATGATTTTGGTCGAAAAATCGTCCACGAGATTGAGGATGGCTTGGCTTGGATTATTCCGCTTTTTTGGGGAGTGTATCGCTTCATGGCTTGTTCACTTGTATTCTACATCTGTCTAGTTTACAAATGTCGAAACAGATCTGACATTGGCCAACATTTGCAGAAATAAGAGCATCTTTCAATAGGGTGATTTCTTTCGGCCCACCTAGTATAATCTGCCAGAGGGCACGCACCATAAGACAATGGGAAAGACCACTGAGAGAAGAAATCCGTGCAAACCTCTTTCAATCGACGAATCATGATTTACGTTTGATGAACAATCAATATTATGAGTTGAAGTTGAAGGGAATCGAATCTATATCGTTTTGAAATCAGCATATTTCATTCGATATTTCAAACAGCCAAATATGATGGTGGAGTCGTGACGTATTTGTCCCGAACTGTAGCTATCTCTCTCTGATACCTCGTCATTCTGCAGTGTTGCAGTGTGATTGGTCAGTTCAAGGACAATAGGCATGTTGGGAATAAGACGTCGCACCAGTCACACCAATGAATTGACAAAATTTCAAATGGCGCAGGAATTGTGTGTTTTGAAATGGACATATTTTAATTTATTTTTTCCATCGTCTTAGCATGTATGACAAAATTCAAAATCAATTCGCTGGTAGTTTTTTAGTATAGAGTTCACGATAATGGCATTTTAAAAAATCAGTGGTCTTCCCCATTGTATCCATTGTTAGCCAGGAGTTCTGTGCTAACAATTGATAACAATTCCTCAATCTATGAGCAAATTATATACGTCCGATAGGAAACGCTCGTCCTGTTAACTGGGTGGGCTACAGGTATACTCCAGAGAACAAGGTACTGTTCGTTTCATTACCAATAGTAACAAAAACACTCAAGTGACTGACCTGCATGCACAGTGCTATGATCTGCCCTTGATGAATACTAACATCTTCAAGTTGGCATCACTATAATGACAGAGCAGATCATCAACACTCTTATCCGCCTCATTCGCTTGTAACGATTATTTCATTCATCTGAAAATTCACGCTTTTGATTGGTTGTAACAGCTGTATTGATAATCGAAAACACTATGTTATCGATTTTGTATTTCGGCACCTGATTGGCTACTTACTGTTTGGGTTTTTGTAGCATGACAGCAGGATATAAATGCTGTCATAATATATTCGTGTTCAGGGAATAAAAACACTACACTTCTATTCAAAACCCAATAGGCACTATCACAATTTGAATTGTCCTCACAATTATTATAAGACAATTCCAAATAATTATTGATTGAGCATGATTCGCATGATATAACCTAAAATAGGAATAATTTTTCAACCACGACTGACGTGACATCTCTACATCTCTCTCTTCTCACTCCCTATGATGTACGCTGCTTTATCCATTCAACGCTTTAATGTATTGTTAGTTGCATAACATCCCTAGTACCTTCGATTGCGAGTGAAGAGGAAGAGTGAATGCGGGATCACGATTGCGGGAAACTCAATTGAGAAGGCTGTGGCCAGTTGTGAAGGAATCAAACAAAACAAAACTGTTTATATGTTGATAAATATCGTTACTAGGTGTGGTGTATAGCTTGAAAATGGACAGTGAAAATCGTTTCGGTAAATATAGTGTAGAAGAAATGAGAAATGGAGTCAAAGACTTAACGCCTCAAAATACCGTGCGTTCCAAAAAGTATGTTTGGAAACAATTCACAGAATATTGTGAACAGCGAAATCATCAGCTAAGCGAAAATACATCTGATGAAAGACTTGCCAATATTCTCACAGAATAGGCATTTAATATGCGGAAAACCGATGGCAGTGAGTATAAGGACATGGTAGTGAAAACTATTTGGAATAATACAGCTAAATTACTCCAAGAAAAATACTATCATGAATACAATCGGAAATTTGATCCATTTAAAGATATAACATTTGAAGTTGCTAGAAATGCCAAAAATACTAAAAGAAAACAACTACAAAATATTCCGGAAAAACGAAAAAAGTCATTTACATCAGAAGAATTGACACAAATTATCCAAATTTGGGATGAAAATACTCCAAATGGATTACAAAGGAAACTGTATCATATTATAGCAGTGGAATTAGCTTGGCGGGGCGGTGAAGCATGCCGATGTTTGATTCATTATTTCAAGGAAGAAATAAATAACAAGGGAACACCAACTGGAAGTCTGGAATATAACCCTATGTAGTTCAATGTCATTGAAATCATATTTACAACTGAGCAAAGAACATCATGCTGATATAATATCAAACCTCAGAAAAGGAGATAATATGGATATATCCACGACGGTTGCATCTAGTAGCAGTAATGATGAATGTCACTATGTCAAAATAAATAATTGCAATAACTGTACATTCAATATAAATATTAACAATAAATAGGTAGTGGAAATGGTTTGTTTTTCATTCATGAAATAATCTTGACAAATATACAACACGTGTAATTGATGATTATCGAAAATTCCTTCTCTTTTTCGAAACAAATTGTGTTGCTTTTAGGCAACCACACTCGCGCTATGCGCTCGTGTGGTTTCCAAGCAACACAATTTGTTTCTCAAAATCGAAGGAATTTGTGTTTCGATAATCATCAATACACTTATTGTATTACAAGCGATAATAACGTGTGGAAAAGCATCACTCTCCGCACTAGTTGAAGGAAGTTTCATCAGAACATATCAAAAAAATACTCACACAGAACGTTGAGAAAAAACGGTTTGCTTTCACCGTCGCCTTCTGTGTTGTAGCCTACGCAAGTGTAATTACCAGCAGTCGCTCTGGATATTCCCTGAAGAACCAAACTCTGGTTGCTGATGATTATGCCGGCTCCCACGTTGATGTTCAGAGTCTTGCCCTACGAAATATATTAATGTTATTGTGCATGACAGATGCCCTGAGGGATCTGGAATGCGAGCGAGATATCTTTTTTGACACATATCATTTTAGATTACGAAGGTAGGTAAGTTTGGCTCATCGTTCTCGAGGCTGTCAGAGTCAGACAGGTGAATCTGGAATACAAGGCATTCTAGATTTTCATTGTGGTGATATCCAGATAGTTTAGTCCTAAAACTATTTGCGTTTGTCGAAACATTTACGGGGTGTCCCGAAACTACATAGAAAGGTCTCAACCACAGATTCTGAAATTGAAAATGATGAAGAAAAGTCAGGGAAACATGGATCCAGAAATGGCTCCTTCGGGAGTTGAAGGGGAGCCTGAGATGATGGATTCATGTAATTAGTTCCGAGATCACGAAATTTTGTACATATATATAACTTTTTATGCCTGATTTGGAGATATTGAGAATTTTTTGAAATTTCAACCAGGGGCGTGAGAAATTGGTGGGGTTAGGGGCATTTCTTTCCCCGACCTATTTTTTTTATATAATCTTCAGCAGTTGAATCAGGAAATATGGAAATATCATAATTTCCACTCAAAAATAATACTCCTGTTCAGTCTCGATACTACTCACCATTTTCTATATAAATCTATTTTAGGAGTCTGCTGCGTAACAAAAATAGTGCTTTTTCCTCATAATAGGGTAGCAAACTTGCCCAAAAACTATTTTTCGATAGAAAATTTACCCTTTCTTCAACACCTATACCTGTGATGTTTGACTCAATATATGGGAGGGACAATAAAAATAATAATTGAAAAAATATTATGTTAAGTACCCTATGAAGGCAAAAAAATTCTTATTACGCAGCAGACTTTTAAAATCAGGTGTATAATTTTTAGATGAAAATCATGATATTTTCAAATTTCCTGGTCATACTGCCGAAAATTGCATAGGAAAAAAGTTGAGGAAAGAAATGACCTTAGCCTCACCTATTTCTTACGCCCCTTATAAAAATTCCGTAAGATTCTCAACAATTCAAAATCGTGAATGGATTGCGAAAAACATGAACGAATGTTCGTTATCTCAATACAGAGGGTTTCGAGAATATTTTCATTTTTGTTCCTAGAATCTGTGGTTGAAATCTTCCCATGTAATTTTGGGACACCCTGTAGATATTGAATAGGCCAAATTCTGAAGGAACCAGAACCAATGAAGGAGGTTATTACCTCCAAACATTTTGGAATATTCCACAGGGTTTTTCATTGAAGATGAATGATACTTGAAGTTGAAGTGACCAAGGAACTGCCAGAAATGCTACCAGATAAAACAGTTATTTTTTTATGTTCTGGTTTCCACGAAAGGGGACATCCTGTAATGTTCAGAGAACATCGTCAACTTATTACGTATGTTGTTCAGAATATAGATGCTTTCGAACGTTTATAGTCGTCATCATGGTCAAAATTTGAATAGATGAACAAAAAAAATGAGGTTGTATTCGTTTTTTTTTTCATGAATTTTCGATATTGGTCTGTTTCATTCGATAGAATCCTCTTTCGAATAAGAAAGAAACTAGAACTCCATTCCCAATAATGAAATCAACGAAGGGTATGAAATATACGACGACATCACGATATAGGGTGGTTTGATTATTCCCATGCAATAATATTCGATATGACAGCTTCATTTTACCATGATATCAAAAATAGCATTCACAAACAGATAATTGATACCAGATTATTTTGCAACATGATAGCAGTTTATAAGATGCGCGGATATGTTTTTTCCAAAAACTTTCGAATCATCTTCAACTCGGCCATGAAATGCATTCAGGTATCATATTATGATCAAGTATTCTGCAATTTCCATTTGAGAAACAATTAGAACTGGAATTTCCACCCTTCATCTCAGAACTACGATGGCTCTAGCCATCGCAGAATGAAAATTAGTGGGAATTCCGATTCATTATATCGAAATTTTGGCTTAGTCAATCGAAATTTTGACTCACATCACGAGATTGATTCTTCACAAGCAGACATGTACAACGTTATGTGTTTACCAATTTTCGGTAGGATATTTTGAAAATTTCATATCTTTTTGTAGTCATAGAAGAGAAACTACATGTGAAGAATCGAGAACAATCCATCCTAATCCTGTTTTTCATGTCAAATATAGATACTGTCTACACGACCACCGCGGCGGTTGGATACTGATTCATAAACGACCGCCGCGGCGGTTGTATACTGATACATAAACAACCGCCACGACGGTATTTCTTCCTTCTTCATGAAGAGTACTTCCGAGCCAAGCGATAGCTCAGTTGTCAGTATACCACGGCGGTGACTCGGGTTCAACACCTGCAAAGCCTGACTTTTTTTTAACTTTTTCTCACAAATAAGTTTCCGAAGGAGAAAGGTTTATTTAGGCGAGTTTGGTTAGTTTGTTTGGAAAAAGAAGGCTCCTTCCTCATGTAGAAACGATATTTTCCTTCCTCATGTTTCACAGTGGTCTTCTATATAAAAATAGGTAACCGCCGGCGGTTGTTTATGTATCAGGATCCAACCGCCGCGGCGGTCGTGTAAACAGTACCTCAAATATATTTTGTTCATTTACTTGAAAGTACAAACCAGCTCACAATCACATGATGTGTCCAATTGGCGAAATTGAATCAGGATCCTATTCTGACATGTTTTTATGTGCTGAATAAAATGAATTTTCATTTTTTCTCTCCTCTATTCCTAGTTGCAGAACTCATCTCAAGACCGGAGGTTAACCAATAATTTATTTTGACGTGCTTGTTGCAAATGAGTCGAAATTCCGACAAACTTAGTCAGAATTTTGAGAAACTCAGTCGAAATTTCGAGAAAATGAGTCAAATTCATGAGATTATGAAGTGAAAATATCGACTCATTTTCATTTTGTTATAGCACAACATAGTATTGATAAGGGGTGGGCGATAGTGATGTTAGATTATCGATCATCGATAATCACAATGTATCGATCGGTTTCATGGAGATTATCGATATAATCAAAATTGTCCATATTATCGATATTATCGATAAATCTATATCATTTATATTATGAATGAACCGATAATTTTCCATCTGAATTATCATTGATATTATCGATAAGTTGCGTACCTCTAGCCTGAATACAGAACACAATCATTCGGAAGGACTTTCTATTTCGAAATTAAGAAACTCCTTAAATATTTCGCATCAAAATCAACTTTCTAATAGGAGAGGTATGAAAAAAAAACTCACGTTATGTCTCCATTCCACTTTGTAGACCAAAGGATGGGAGTTCACAATACAATCAAAATAGACGTCGGTACCTTCACGTATAGTATCAGGATTCAGAGACGTTCCAAGTAAAATTTTTGCCTCTGGAGTATCTGTAATGTAGATTGGATGGATCAAATCAACTTCAGTATATATGCCAAACAATTATTCATAACAGAGTTAAAATATTCATGAACATTCAGAGCTTCAGATATGAACTCAAAGTGGGGAACAGAGAGTTCAAATATTATGGAAGCCAACATTCTTCTGAAAGGGCAATCCATCAACTCCTGAGTTTATTCAAAACAAATTAAATACACTCATCAATCTCGATAAGGGAATCTCAGAAAGGGGTTACTATTTTTCACGAAAGCTTTTCTTAACATTTTCGGTGAGAGTTGGATTCAGAACGGGTTTTTTTATATTTTCTCCTCTTGAATAAATTCAACTGCTCATCAAAATCAATACAAGACTCACAATGTATCTCTAATTTCCATCCATCCTCGATAGTTTCGGGTGACACCACTTTATTCTCAGCTCTGCATGACAGGTATTTCCCGTCATCTTCTTTCTTCGGTACGAAAGACAAAGTACTAGTAGTTGTATTTCCGTCATTAGATGTCTGAAACAAATTGAAGTAATTGTATTGGATGCAAGAAAAATTCTGTTGATTGCAAAATTTACCATATCACGAGTGTTCTCCAATCTCTGTCCATTTTTCCACCACGTGATCGTTGCTGGTGGTCTGGATCCGGTACTTTGACACAACAGATCGTATCTCCTTCCGGCAGAAAGTGGTTGATTATCGCCGAGGATAACAACGTCTAATGGTCCAACTGCAATAATTACCTCATGATAGTATACAAATGATTATTTTCTTCGTATTATTTTGAACCAATCAGAATGTTCAATTGAGTTGGGCTACCTTGTATAATTTTCAATATAAGTGGATATAAAGATAGAGTAACTCCGTCAATCAAAATTTCGAATTATTTCCATAGTTACCAATTTATATTGTTACATACAAACAAAGCGCGTGGTAGAATGTGGAAGTTCGTTCAGAACTACTCAAAAAATAATCGCATCGAATACAATTCGGAATCCGAACTGTTTATGGTGATACATCTGAAAATTCCTGCAAAATTCCTAATCGTGTCAGTTTAACGAAATAATTCTCCCGCTTCACGCTACTCAATTATAATATGGTGTATTTAAATCTCCAGCATTGGTGTGTTGCTTAATCTTCTTATTCTTCTTACCTCTAGTACATCCATTTTGGTTCCTCGGAGCTAAAGTTCAACTTCAGCTCCTAGGAACTGAAAGTGTTGCCTAGCAACATTCCTATGTTTGTGTCTGTAATAGAAACGTCAATTCAAATGGACGACTTTTGTGTCGGTTGCAGATAAAGCATAATTCACTGAGTGAGTATGGATTGCGTTAAATATGACAATATTTTATGAATTCTTCAAAATGATGAACCGCTGCAAAAATATGCAGGTTGTATTATTCTTTTTACTATTGTTCACTATGTAGCAGTGAATAGTGTATTGAAACAATGATTGGCAATAATTCACCCTCAGTTGTTTTTATATTTCGAATATTTGTTGTAAATGTTTCCGTTATAAGAGGATTATTAGATGAAATACTATTCGAGATTTATTAACATTAATTGTACCGCATCGATGAGGAATATTCACGTGTGAGATGAAAAAAATAATAGTCTCAGTGTTCAGAAGTTCACTTTGGAACTTCTCTATGGGTTTTGAATGATGCATATTATAAACAATAATGTCGTCTCACTTTATCACTTGATCACAGTATCCGAGTTGTCTAAGGCGCTAAATAACCGTTTTCAATGCGGAGGTATGCTGTCGGTTCGGTATGACAAAACATTCTTCATCAAAATATGTGATTCTTGGTTGTAATCCTGGCAGTACCTTGGTGGCATAGCAGTGATTCGAGTTCCACTACAAGCTGTAGGTCCCGCTCTTCATCACCTCGCACAAGTTTAGACTTATGGAAGAGTTGGTTCCCAACTTCGAAGTAGCCATATATGAATTTCACAAATCAAATGCGATTTCAAAACAGTATAATGGCATTATATTCCACATACGAAATGATTTGAAAACACAATGTTTCAATTGATTAATAGCATATTGGATGAGAAATCGAAATTGATTTTGTTTTCGTTAAATATGGAATGTCGATAATTTCGGATTCAAGAGGTGCTATTCTTGTTATCTGCATTCATCATCATACTCGAAAATCACTGATCTATGTTGACAAAATTCCAGGAATCGAACAAGATTTTCAAAATTTGGGAAACTATTGTCTCCATCATAATAATCTATCACAATCAGGATACCCATAGGATGCAGCTTGAGCCAGGGACACTCTAAATAACTTCTGAATATGTAATCCTCTTGAAAAAGTCATCGAGCATTGTCGAAATAAAAATAAAAGGTCAAGCATAGAGGCATAGAGCTGAATATAATCTAGGAAACAACCCACTCCTGAAGGTTTATTGAACAAAAGAGTAGGCATATCTTGAAGAATAGGACTATTGAATGAAGTAGTGATTCACACGAGACCAACGAGACGAGACTTTCATAAAGTCTCGTCTCGTCTCGCCGATGAAATATGAAGTCTTGTCTCGAGTCTCGTCTTGTCTCGCGTCTCGTACGAGAGTCTCGCAAATGTATCGCAATTTCGTCATGCATAATCTTGTTCCAGTCTAGTACGGGATATTTACTTATTGAAAAATTAGTACCTAATAGGTACATACTAAAAGGCCGCCGACGCCACGGATGCATCGCCATCCGTGGCGTCGGCGGCCCGTCAAAACAGAGCTATTCTTTATCTTAGACTTCTTTTAGCACAGAATGACTTATTTATTGATTTTCAGGTAGTCATTCAATTTGCGATCTGTCGTTATTGTAGATTTGCCTTTTTATTCCGCCGCCGTAAGAGAGAGAATAGTCCGTTTTCGTTTCACGCATTACGTTGTTTTACAACAATCATGGATTGCGTTCTAAAAGTATTTATGAATGAAATGTTTTGTCTATCTGTGGATTCTGTGCTGAAGTCTGAATTCTTTCTAAATATGTTGTATTATGAATGAAAGTGTCAAGTCTGCAGTTGCGGCACGCAGAAATATTTACCTGCGAGACTCTCGCACGAGACACGAGAAGTCTTGCACGAGACTCGAGACGAGACCAATAAAAGTCTTGTCTCGTCTTGTCCGAGTCTCGTCTCGAGTCTTGTCTCGAAAACGAGACGAGACCATGCGAGACTCTCGAAAACGAGACTCTCGCGGGCACCACTAGAATGAAGACTATAAAAATAAATTAACCGACTTCAAAACAATGTCCTTGAATAAAATTATTTCAAATTGAATTGAAAAGTGGTGTGTCTTTCTGAATTCATACTGCAGATATGTCCTATGGTCTGTGCCTTTGTCTCGAATGTCACTTCACATTTGATTTGTCGTTGTTCACATTAATGTTGTTCAGTCTGTTACATAATGAAGTACAGAATGAGAATATCTTTTTCAAAACTTTTTACGGACCTAATTAATTGGTGGGGTTCCCACATGGTCCCCAAAATCAAATTCCTTTCTTAATAAGCCAACAATTGTTTCGCCTCTTATAAATTTGTTGGTTTTTTTATGAAATTGATATGTAAACCATATGAAATTATTTTTCATCCTCATGTGAGTGTGAGTGATATACCTAGCATATTGTATCTCCTTTTGGATATTTTCACCTTTCGGCTGATGATGGACACTATTGATGTCCGAAACATGTTCTCCTAATTTCATTCGAGGATTTAAACGTTCTGAAGATGATTTTGGGTTTTGTCTCTTACTACTTACTACTCTACTCCACTTAGAGCTATGGACTTCTACACTAGATTAAACTTCAGATATGTTTTTGAGGTCGACTCGATTTTTTTGGAATCAATCTTATTATTATCATGGAAAATAATGAGTTTTCTATTTGAAACCAAATTTGTTCTCGGAATAGAAATATTGATTATGAAAAATCATTTAGGAGGAATTTAGGTAAACAAATATGCTAACGACATGCTTATTTTGTTGAGATTATTCTGCTTACTCGAAATAAGCTCATTTCATTCATCTGTAGGATAATTTGAATATAAATTGAATAAGGGTAGCATTTCAGCGAAAAGTTTGTTCCAACTGCAAGAACAAGAGGAAATGAAAATATATAATATTGCTCAGTTCGTAAGCAGAGTAATATCATTCTAGGAGAATTACACAAATTCAGAAATATGTATGTATAGGATATGTCACAATTGCCTCTTGACTTAAACACATTGAATATTTTATCAAAGTTCTCTATTTATTAAAGCGCAGAAAGAATGTTCACTTATAATTTCACTAGAACTTCACCCTGACTCGGGAGAATTTTCTATAAATATTCGTGTTCGAGAAATAATTGGTTTTTGATTGAAGCTCGAGGGATATTTTTCACACCGAAATTAAAAAAAAACTGAGATAAAAACTAAATAAAATACGAAATACTGTCTCAAGTTACACAAAAGTTTTATGAGGCAGCTGGTGGTAGTTCAAACTATTATTCTTGACTAACTACATTTCACTGAAGGTGGTGGAAGGAAGGAAGTAACTCGACTGCATGTAGTATTGATTAGAGTAACTGGATGTTATCAGTTTGATAAGAGTTCGGACACAGAAATGACAACGGTTAGGGTTTTTGAATGTTTGGATTTATTAAGTTACACACCTTGCATTGTGACAAGAGCACCATAGTCGTTCCGCGCTTTTTCATTCAAAATTGTTTGAATTTGACAATACATTTTATAAACGTCACAAGAAATGAAATTTCATGATTATACATTCGAGATAAAAGCAGCAATGGAAATAACTTGCTGTGTAATAAGTTGTGCCAATTCTGAAACAAATGGATATCATTTATTCAATTTTCCGAAACAAATATCAACCATTCGCTTATGGAAGGAAGATATGAAATGGCCCCGGTGCAAAATCAATTTGAAGACGAGCGAAATTTGTGAGGTACTCATCAAAATTCACTTTTTATAACTGCATCTGATTAGAATGAAACTATATTTCAGGCCCATTTTCAAACAGAAGATTTAAAAATCGGTTTGTGAGAATCTGCTGTTCCATCAATTTACAAAGCAGACGATTTCGAGAACAAAATTCCATTATTATCATCACACAAAATACAAAACAAAATTATCATGGAAAAGAGGAAATGATCACAAAATTACATAATGAAATTGAGAATTTCAAAACGAAACTAAGAAAAGCAAGTAAACTACAAAGTAATATATATTATTGAATGGCGTTTTGAGTGCCGACCATATTTAAAATTTAACAGTGAAAAGTGAATAAGTAGTTATTTATGTATCAAGGGAAATATTATAAGGGCCTTAATTACGCTGGACGTTATCGTTTTGGAGATATTTTTATATCGGTCCATGTTACTTAGCTCCTAGGGCGCTGAGTGGAGTTGCTGAGAACTTTACAAAACTAGGCATTTGGTAGGTCTCGGCAAAATGAACTACTTTTTTCCTATCGAATATTTATCGAAAAATGATTTGTTCTCTGTATTTCAGCACCCTGTATCGCCGAAATGAAGCATTTCCGGACACAAAAGCTTATATAAACTTTATTTCTCATAATTGTCTCAGGAATACTTCACTTGAAAGTACTTATGTTACTTCCTGTATATTGAGAATACCTACCTTTAATTTAACAGTTTCACATACAATTAGGAATGATAGCTATAAGTTTATCCATATGTGTATATTTTCTAATATTAAAATGTTG